AATATATTCAAATGGCGCCCTAATTGATAAACGAGTCGACTAACTTAACAACTTAAATCTAAATGCTAATATAATAATTTAAGTAAGATTATCTTACCACCGATTCAGACATTTGCCTATCGTTACTCAAACTTCTCTCTAAATATCTTAACTCTCCTTTTTATCTCAAACCTCTAACATTTCACTTACTTATTAGCTAATTTGCTAATTGCGTTTGGCATTTTTTGTCTGATTGGTTATTTTTTAATGGACTTCCCCAATGTTGAACAATAAGTTGAGCAGTAAACATTTTAATAGCCTCAGACTTTGTTTTTCTTTTTTTCATTTTAAATTTGGATGTATATTGTTTAACTTGTTGCTTTCATTTCCAGTTATTTAAATCGTTTTAAATAAATTATTAAAAAAAAGTTACCCATCTAAAAAAAAATTAATTTTTTAGACGAATCCAAATACTCCTAAAAGCCTGACTCAAATAAAAAAAGGTTCACATTCAGGTTTAGTTCTTACACCAGTTTTAATGGAGTGCTTATTGCTTATATATTTAATTCGTATTTTTATTTGAATAGCGTTTAATACACAAGACAACCCGAAAGGGCACGCACACACTTAGCCAGCTTTACGAGGGCCTAAAACCCTTCTCGTTGACGGAAAATTCTTAGCGGAAATCCCACATGTACATTTTGGGGGGCGGAAAAGCCGAAAGCAGAAAGCAGAAACGTGGAAAGAGGAAACGAGAAAGCAGAAAGCGTGTTTGACATGTTTCCGCAAACTAAACACACATAAAACACACACAGACACACACATGCGCACTTCGTGGCCAAGGCCCAACGACATATTGACCCAGACACGCCTACTCTTACCCTCCATAAAGCCCCCACCTCTTGTGTTCACCTGGTCATCATCATATTAGTCCACCCTTTTTTCTAGTTGTCGCTTCTGTGTCTTATTCCCCATTAAAAATTGATCACAATGTAATTGTTATTGCCTCTTACACTGCATGTGTGTGTGTGTGTGTGCGCGCGAGTGTCTGTGTGTGTGTGAGGGCGTGTGTGTCTTGTTGTTAACGACTTTTATGTGTGGCTATGAAATTGATAGCAACTCCACCACCAGACACCAGACAAGTACTCAATATGTCAATGCCAAGGCCAACAACTCGGACCAAAAACCAGATAAAAAATCCCATTTGGCAAAAATAACAAAAATTGCACCCTTATTGAAAACTAAATGACTTTGAAGAAGCTTAAATAGAATTAATAGCTATAAATATTAATGATGCTATTTTTCTGTATATAAACAGCTTATAAACATTTTGTGCAACACTTGTAAAAAACTAGTAAGAATGCTGTAGTGGCGTAATCTTGACTACGACATACCCTCAACTATAATAAACTAAATATATTCAAGTTTCCTTTGCAACATTTCTGCACACCCAAATGTAAGCATGAGAATACATTTTAGGCTATAACTTGGGTGTATCTTGACCGATCTGGCTGAAAGTTGTGCTGTTGATCAATAATATGTCATTGTGCATTAAATATTAATATAAAAGGTCTGCGCTTAAAATTGATGCTTTCATTGCTATACAAAATCGAATAATATAAATAAATATATTATATATATTTCACATATTTTATATTTATTACATATTTTAGATATGCTTCCAGCTGCTTGCTACATGTATTCCCACAGCTGCGTTTTACCCCTTTTAACCTTTTTGAATGTGTTTTAGGGTATTAATATCTGAGAAAAAGTTGATTAAAACCGCGCTGTAATCTTTCTCAATTAGATTTAAGTTTTGAGTCAGCCGGCTTAGTTTTTGAGCTTAGCGGAACTTTTAATTAAAGATAACGAACGCACTCGAATGGCTAAATTGATATTTAAATGGCCTCAAAGCTGGCGTTTAATTTTCTTGTCCCCTCTGCATAGTATTATGAGCTATATTTATAGCGCCATAAATTGTCGTGACTAGATTTCTACGATCTGCTGCGTCATGTTTATATTTTATTCGTTCGATTCACATATAAAGTATATTTGTTGTTTGTCACGTTAATGGAGAGATTTTAGACAGATTTACGAATGCATAAGCTATTCTTGGAACTATATGCGTCAAAGGGAGCTACAAAGTCAATAAAAATAGAGACGTAAAACTTTAATTAAATTCAATCACATTTTTTTATGCAGTCGCATAAGCATTTTTTATGTATCATAATTCATTAGAAGTACATCAAAATGACACGTGAGTTTTGCATTAAGTAATTGCTTGGAAGCAATTATTGACAAGTTGTTCTGCGGATTATTTTAATTAAAAACACAGACAAGGCAAATGCATTATAGAAACAAAGTTTCAGAGAAGAAACTGTTTATCTTATTTATGAATCTACAATCGTAAATCAGTTGTGTATATTCTTACAACTGAGAATTAAAACAAGTTGGAATGCCATAGACAAGAGAGGGTCGACTGGGAGATACGCTGTTCATAATCTGGTAAACTCACTGATGGATGTTGATCAAAATGAAAATACTTTTTGTTGTTGTTCAATCTAAGATTCTTGCAGTAGATCAAAAGTAAATCATGGTATTTTATATGTTTACTAGAAGGCTATATTTTTTAATGTATTAGTTTGTATCAATATTCGCGAAACGGTCGCAGTTATCGATAAGTGGAATAAAGTATCCAAAATCTTATATTCCACATTTTAGGTGTCTTGCTCTAATCGTCTCAGAAACTTTTAATATAGATCAAATATATAAATACTATAAAATCAATCAGATCACATACATATATACTTTAAAATTAAGGTTCCATACTCCGTCTAAAATAGACTCGAACTCCGTCCCATTTCTGATTATATATATAATATATAAAAATATGCCTTATCAAAATGTAAAAAACGCACGCAAATGAATCAAAGCTGGGCTCAATAAATAACGTGCACAATTTGATTGCAATTAGCTCAATTAGACAAAATTAGAATTTTCCAAACCGAAAAACCGAAACAAAGAGGGGATTTGTAAAAGAAAACCCACGCATAAATGCTATCAAATGAAAAGTTCTTAATGACAAAAAAAAGAACAAAAAACAACGCCGTCGGAGTAGCGTGGCCAATATCATTAAGACCAATTATATGCTTGGTCTGTTTAATTGAAAAACTTTGTGCCTGAGCCCCAGTGGAATGGGTACTGGTAAATTAATGCTGGCCACGAGGCGTATGCTTAATTTACGTAAAATTTTCCACTCACCATCGACGACGTTGTCTGGCATTGGAGTGCAGCCAATGTATTAAGTCCTGCAACTTGGATTTGCGATCCTCATCCTCATCCGGATCGTAGTCATCGTTCGCCTCAGCTGTTTCCTGCTCCAGATGATAGGGATCCTCGGAGTGATCGGTTATCATAAAAGTGGGCTTTATATATGCATAAGGCGCAGACATTTTTGCGGCCACTTTTCTATATCTTTTCACAAATGCAACAAACACAAACACTTTTCACTTGACAGAATCTGAGGGAAACGCTTTTTCTCGCACATTTTCCACTTGTCTAATTGAGCTACTAATTTGTGGCTGTTTTTCTTTTAATTAAAATACGTTTCGTTGACAGGCAATTTCAACCGGTGGCGACCTCTGTCGGCCATCTACTGTCAACTCAACTCAAAGTGGATTTCATACAAAAATTGTGTTTTTATTTTTTTTGGGAAAATGTCGCGTGGAATGCGTGGAAAGCGGAACTAACTAACTAACAAAATGTTTCTCTCTCTCTCATTCTTATTTCTCTTTTCCGCTTCTGTTATTCTTTTATTGTATGTGTGTGTTTGTGTAAATGTTGTGTTAATCTCAGTGGGGCACTTACCAGAAGCGTTATTTGTTTTCACTTGACGGACAAATTGATTGTTGTGCTTTCCTTCACGCCACAAATTGTTCACAAGTTCATGAGAACTCTTCAGCAAAATGTAAGAGAATTTATTGATGAACATAATTTGTCATAATGAATATTACAAGTGATTTATGATGCGGCTATAACTCATCTATAATGGAGAATAACAAAGGATTCAAGTGGTCGCAGTGACTCTAATAATAATTATAAAAATAGTAATAATAATAATAATATTAATGATGATGATAGTAATAATATAATGATAATGCTTCTGTTTCTTCATTAATTAACTAGAATATATTAATTATTATTTCCTTGCAATGTATGCATGTTTCTACAGATTTGTTGAAGATCGTTAAATATCTTGATTCATAAAAAGAGGAAAGCAAACATATTTCCTTATTTTGTGTTCGATTAACTCTTAAATAAATGATCATAAATTATTAAGTTGCGTAGTGTGAGTTGACTTCAAATGTCATTAACAATTCAATAACCGTCACTAAATATAAATATTTATTGTTTTTTTCGGATACCATCGAAATTCCCTATAGAATTATTACACATGATATTATGTTTACTTTATATTTATATTTAGAACATAGAAAAGTTATTAATACTTATGGAGTGTCATGGCGTGCTTCCATCCAGCTGTTGACTTTGAAACTAATTTCTATGCTGTGTTTGTTCAAGTGGGTGTCTCTATAAATAAACGTTAGTCTTGAAGTATTTCCCTTCATAACTATTTACTTATGGAAAGAGTAATAAGAGTCGCAGTGGCAAGAACAGATAAGGGTTCAATAAAACACTGGTAAACTTTATACGCAGCTGTTTCCACACACACAAAATCAACAATCAAATTGGTTTATGTGGGAACTAAAGAATATTTACCAGATGATGTGTAAGCAACAATTAAAATCAGGCAGTACAAGTATTCAGATTTGAAGTGAACTTGGTCTAAGAAGAGCTGCATTTGTGATTAGTTATTTAATTTACCATGAATAGCTCGTGTCAAGATAGAAGGAAACATCTTCGATCCCACAAGGTATATTCTTGTTCTAGATCAAAAGATGAGTCGATTCGATAAGTCGATTTCAGGGAATATTAAAGCTAGATATTTAAAATTTGGAATATAAGTTCTCAAGTTTATTTGATATTTCTTTTTGGTGACATCAACTTTATACAGTTTTTATTTAACGAGCTAAACAATTTATACTCAACGGATTACATTTCTAAGACAATAAGAGTTATACAAAACCACGATAAGACAAACTTTGAATTGAATACGCTTTTCCAAATACTGAATGTGATAAATATATTTAATTAAAAGTTCCAGTTGATATCAAATATCCCGAAATTGGCAACACATAGATCGATTAAGCTAATTAACATTTGTTGTTAGTATTTAATCCCAGTTGAAGACAACATGGGATAGCATCAGATAGATGGTCATTAGGGTCACCTGGCCCAACATCATGGGCAGCATCGTCCTCAAATAGCGGGTAAAGGATAATTTATAGCCATGTTGCTCGGCAATGCCAGCTGCGATCACATTCGCCGAGGCGCCATACAAACTTCCATTGCCACCCAAGGAGGCGCCCAGGGTTAAAGACCAAACCAGGGGTTGCAGTGGTAAACCAAGTGATTCCTTGGCAACCAACGAGTTGACCAACTTGACCATCATTGCTGCCACTGGAATGCTGTCCAGCACCGATGAGGCCAACGCCGATGTCCAAAGGATCATGAAAATGGCCACCGTCAATCGATGCTGTTCGTTCACAGCCAGGATCACATGCTCCGTTAGCTCAGCAATGCTGACAAGTAGTCCAAGTCGCTCCACACACTCCATCATCACAAACATGGCGGCAAAGAAGAGCAGCGTCGTCCACTCCACGCGATGTATCAAATGCTCCATATCCTCGCGATTCAGCACAATCAGCAGCAGGATGACCCCGAGCAACGCAACCCAACCAAGTGGCAGAGTTCTCCAATGTGGCACCGATTGTACCAGAAAGCACACAATCACGAAGATCAGAGCGCCAGAGGATTGCAGCAGCAGTTTCATGCTCTTTATCGGATACTGTAAAGATAAGTTTATTTATGGTAAGAGCAATTAACTATTGGCTAAACTTCGTCTCCATTTGATTCCCATTTTGAAGTAAGTTCGATTCTACACTCAGAGAAACGAATCTACTTGCTTAGAAATTATTTCAACATTTGTCTAAATATCAGTTTGATTCTTTTTCTGAGTGTAGACTCTAGAGAATCGTCGGAATTCTAATATAACTCATTCCAAAATGGGTTTCACGTGGTAACCAAGTTTATCCAACTTCTTACCTTCTGCTTCAGTTCATCGAGCGTATTCGCATAGATCTCAGTGGATGCCACGCCTTGTTGCCTGCGCCTCAGCGTCCGCTTCAGTTGCTTCACTTTGCCGTGAAGTGTGCCACGCACCAGCTGGGCATCCTTGGAGCAGGCAGCAATCGCATTCATGGCACGTTGCCACACACGAATCTCGCGACGCAACTCACGCAACTCTTTGGGCTCATTGAGACGCAGTGTGTCAATGTTGCGATAATAGAGACGCAAATAGACGCAACTCTGCAACACAGCCAGCAAAACACCAGGCAACATATGAGCCACAAAGGTGAAGAAATTGATGCCCTAAAAGAAATGAATAATTAAATATTAAAGTAGATCAATCTTCACTCGACTCTCAACATACATTATCTATAATAAAATGATTGGTGCTGATGATGATGCTGATGGGATCTCCAATGGGCGACAGAGCCCCACCAATATTCGCATGGACAATGATGCCCATCACAACTGGAATGGGATCCAGTTGCATCACTTCGCACAATCGAATGGCGACTGGTGTCAGCAGCAGCACCGTTGTCATATTATCCAGCATGCTGGAAACCAGACACGTCACCAAACAGAGACTGTAAATCATTGGCCAGATTTTGCCACCGGATATTTCAAAACAGATGACAGCCAAATAGTCAAAGATGCCCGTCTCCGTCAGTATCAGAATGAGCAGCATCATGCAAAAGAGTAGCGTGAGCAGCTCCATATCCATCCACTCCTTCATCTCGTCCATGTTGGGACGATCCTGGAGCACGGCCAACGCTGTGACAGACAGTATCGAACAGATCATGGCCACAAAGGGACGTTCCAACTGCTCCCAAACGAGCAGGCCATAGAAGAGCAGCAGGATAATCCCCGCCAGAATGCTCCCAGTGCGTGTATTGACAATCACTGGATTGTAGTTCAACTCAATGGCCAAATCCTGTTCTACATTGCTGTAGATATGCAGTCGTAATTTGCTATCCTCGCGGGAGAGTTGATCCTGCAGCTCCTCATTGACGTGAAAAGTGCGATTGCGTGCCGCGACGGCTGCTTGTGGCAAGTGCGCCTCGGGAACGAGAGCCAGCTGCCAGAGCTCCAAAATGTTCTGTGCGAGAAACAGAAAGTAAAAGTTAAATATAAATCACTCTAAAAACTACAAAGTATTTTCTGAAATTCCAAATTGGTTAAAACTAGTAATAAAATGTTAACTTTACCTTAAAAACTTGACTGCCATTGTTGCCACCATTTTGAGATATTTGTGGTTGCACAAACAGAAAATTCGGAGTGATGGTTTCATTTGAGTCCTCCTTATTCTCACTGAGCAGTGTCGAGGTCTTCTTGAAGGGGCCAAGCAGCCTCAGTCTGAAGTCCCCTGTGGGCTTCTGTTGCAGCTGGAAAACTAAAAGACTCCAAGGATTAAGTCCCTATTCACATATGAGTTAAATTGCAACCCACATTTGCCTGGTTCTCCTCGCGGCACTTGGACGATCTTCTCCAGCAGATGCTTCTCACCCACAGTGATCAGCACAGCAGCTGTAAATAGCCACAAGACGAGCAAACCACTTCGCTTCCAGTGTTTATCCCGCTTCAGTTGCTCCTTGGAACGTTTGGATCTGTGATGGATGCGCCTGGCCTGACTTTTGGCATTTCCGGGTCCATTTGCATGCGGTTCGTGTTCCGAGTGCGTTGTGGTTGCCTCATCATCGGTGCTCTTATCACCCTCGCCACTCGGTCTCATTTTAATGTCGAGAAAATCGGAGCCCGCATAACTGGAGCCGGGTGCATCTTGCAACTGCAGCTGCAGCCGATGACTTGCCCCATCCTCCTCCGGCTCCAGTTCAATGGCACCCAAATCGATGTCGTGCTCCGCTGCCTCTGCCTCTGGCTCTGGCTCTGCCTCGCTGTTGCACGCCGTGGAACCTTTAATCCACGCACCCCAAAGAAAATACATATAAATAATGCATGAGGCTATTATTTGAATCCTTGTCAAGTGATTGTCAATTTATCGATTTGACAGCGATTAATATTCGATTAGCTGGCTGCTTGTTAAGCGGATTGCGATTTGTGTTATTGTCGCTCGACACAAATTGAAGTAGAAAACATTTCGACTCGGTTTTTTGTGACGCGTAGTTTGATTTGATTCAATTGTTGTGTGATAAGCTTTATTTTTATTTGACTAGAAGAAGCAGCCACGCATACACTCAGAAAAAACCTGCCCTTGAATCTTAAAATATCTACGGTATTTTTGGCGCCAATTGTAACTTAATCAGCAAGTAAAATTAAAATATTCGAATAACAAATATTTTAGATAAATTATAAAATAATAAAAATTAATTTAAGATAAACATAAACTTTAAGACAGAAAAAAGCTAAACTCTCTTTTTCTGATATATAGAAAAAGTTTTAAAAAATAAAAATGACTTTCTAAATTTAGGAAATTTTGCTAATTTATTGTAAAGTTATTTGTGAAAATATAGGTAGTCCTTTCAACATCTCAGAAATGCATTTCTTAATAATGAATTTATATTTGTTGTATTTTTTAAAAGTAAACAAATCCTGTCTATACTTTTGCAGAACCCCTTTTAAAAAGAAGGAAAATTGTCTAGAACGATTTATCTTTTAGGACAATTTTCTAAATTGCAGGGCAATCAATTTTTTCTGAGTGCAACTCCTTAACTCCTCCCTCACTCACCGTGAATGCGTTCGTTCTCCATTTGAAAGCTGGCCATGCTGGGATCATGTCGGATTTCCGCTGGCAAAGTGCGCCACACCTGCAACGATTGCTCCGTGACCTGAGCCAGTGGCGCCACCCGAGCTGGCCCCTCGGCGAGATTCGTTTTAATTTTGCTGCTGCTGCTGTTGTCGCCAGCAACTCGATGCTGTAGCTCAATGTTGCAGCTGCCCCGAGATGGACTGCCAGGAGTCAGACGACGCAATGTCTCCAACAGACCCATGTTAAAAAATAACAACGCAGTTAATGAGCTGAGAAGCTAAACTGTTCACTAAATATTTAATGGCTTTAATTAACGGAGCACTTGGACGACATGTTTGTCGCGCTGGGCTCACAAGTTGCGACTGTTCTCTGCGCTGTGTGGATGTACGAGAATTGAAACATTTGTGCGGTTTCCCGAGCATCGCAATTCCAGCCCACTCACATTCAATATTGAATGCCAACCATTGTTTGCTCTCCCTGCTGCACACACCTCCCTCTTTCCGTCAGTTCTTTTCCACGCTTTCGCTTTTCGCTTTCGGCTTCCAGTTCCAGGATTTGTTTTGGCGCCTGCGTCATAAATATTGTTTCTCTGATTTTTCACATTTCTGTGTTTTGTTCGCCGTATTCGTTGTTATCAACAAGTTATCGGCCAGCCAGCTTTCGAGCTGCTTTTTTTATACGACGTGTCAGCATTTCGTTTCAGTATTCAATTACTTATTCACAACTTTTGTCCCAGCTCTTAACCCATTCACCAAATTTCATTTCAAACTACAAAGCAAACACTAAAAAATTGCGCATACGGCTGGTTGGCACATTAAGCTGTTGGGCACGTAGCAATCTGCTCGAAACGTGTGTCTCAAAAATCTAATAATGACAGACCAAAATATAGTTGAACAGCCACTTGATATTTATAGCTTATCAGCAAACATATACAGTTCACTTTAGTTCTGGGCGATAATTTTAATTTGCAAATAATTTGCAATTTTTTATAGTTCTCTTTTTGCAGGCAGATACATAGTTCCCTTAAAAAAAACGCTCAGCAACTGCTGTTCAAATTGAAAGCCCTTTTGCCGAAACTATAAATATTGTAATTATTTAATGATTATTTAATAACATTTTGAATTTTTTCTAATCCTCAAAAATGTCAGCTTGAGTCGATCAAAGACTACCACCCTTGAGCACCAGTTTAAAGCTTCGTTAAGCACAGACAACCACCTGCCTTGGCTGGTGCAGCGCCACCAAGCGGCAATTTTGTTTAGCAGCGTGTGCATGAACATACTCACCACAACGCAACGCTAAGGGCTTGTGACTTTGCTAGTGGTGCAAAGCCGTACTTCGCACACAGGTGAATTTAGCTCAACTGGTGTGTGCCTCGGGAAATCAGGGAAATTATTTTATTTTTTGAATGATTTTGTTCTTTTATTTATATATATTAACCTAGCGTTGTGAGGGTATTGCTTAAATCTGCACATTATCAAAACATTTTTAGCTAGAAAAGAGATGAGATTTATTCTTTAATAGAAGATAAAAGATAAAAGAAAGAAATGGAAAGATTATTATAGAGGATGATAGTATTTAAAATCCACGTTTCTTGGGGTACATAACAAAATGCTAAATTATTGCGTTTCATGCAGAAAACTACTTTGGATCCCCTCATAAGATTACTTCTCATTTCTTCAATAACACCTTTAAAGTTGCAACAAAACATTTAATTCGTTGACCTGTCTAAGCGATGTAATCAATAATATTTATGCCACACCCAATTCCCCGCCCCCGTCCCGCCCCTGTAAGCATTTGTGCGAATTAAATTCTCATTAGCAATAATTTTGTTCTAATTGAAAATGCAAAGCGCGAAGCGACTAAAGCCATTTTAGATGAGAGAGAGAGAGAGGGAGATCAGAGCCAGGCGAGTAGCTTCCAATAATTCCTGGCCAATTCCGGAGTTTATTGACTGGGAACGAACGAGTTTTGCAATAAGGCTGCTGCTGCCTTTTAAATTGTATTCCGTGGACAGTTTGCTCGATGAGCAACGCTTTTATCAGTTGTCGCCACAATTGCCTCCTGTCTGTCTGCCTTTCAGCCAGCTTGACTGCCTGAATGGCCAAATGGCTGAATGCCTGAATGGTTGAATGGCTTGCAGGGCCTGTTAAATCAATGCAATTAGTGTCACATCCTCTGCATTTAATGTCTATGTTTCTGTAATCGATTCTGGCGCCATTGTCCACTGTCCACTGTCCACTGTCCACTGTCCTATTCGAACCAGTTCTGAAATGCCCTCTAATCGCGTTAATAGAACGTATGCTGCTCCAGGCTTTTACATATTGTTTTTGCTTGTGGTCGAGCATGTTGCAAAATGTAATTATGCTCATTTTTGGTTAAATAAATGAAAATCTAACAAGCTTAAGCCACACATTAAATAGCCATTAAAACAAAATATTAAAATGAAACAGTTTTAAGAGTAAAATAAATTAGTCTTAGTGATAATTGACAAACAAGACTCTATAAATTCACAAAGATTTACATTTAATTTATTTATTCAGATGTAATATATATTATATTAGCCTAATATAAGTAATTATTTAGAACTTTTTTTCTTTATGTGTTATCTTATAAAGTTTATACCTCTGTGTAAACCCATCAAAGAAACCAGTTAAAATTATATTTATAATTATTTCTTTGTATTGTTGATATAATAAAACACAAAAAAGGATTTGTACACTTTCCCTTGATTGCTGATAAGCAAGTTGCGCCTAACACATCAATAAAATTTTGAAATTAATGAGAAGTGCACTTATAAAAAAGTTGTCTTCTTTCTTTTCTTTTCTCCCACTGAAATTGGCTGTGTTTTTATTGCCCAACACTTTTTCTTCGACTCTGCAGCAGATCGTTAAGTAATATCACATTTAATGGGTATGCATTTTTATATAAACCAATTCATGTTTATTTTCATTTCGCATTCATCCAGCTGCCATCTGCTATCAGCTTATATATATATATATATATATATATATATATATATATATATATATATATATATATATATAGGGCTCTTCTGGTTATTATTGGTGTTGTTGTGCTTGTTGCTTGGGTCATTTGTGTTTTAATTGGCCATTTATTGGATGGTCGTCGTCTGTTGTGGCGTCTGTTGAAATGGTGTTGCTCAGGCAACACTGCTTCACTGCTTAAATTTTACAGCCTGAACAGATTTGGCAGCAGCCTCAGCGGATTCAACAGCTGAACAAGTTGTTCACACGAAAATGGCCAAAAGGTTTCTCTTTCAATGGCAAACAATATAATTGGCAAATGGGCGTAACGCCCCCGCCCATTTCGGCATTACCTGATAGTAGCACTTTATAGTCCTTTGTGGGTTCTTGAACCCGGCCCCCTGCTGGCCCTGTGACCAGGCAAGCATTCCATTTCCGCCTTGTCAAGCAAACTCATTTTGCCTTCTAGCAGACAAAAACCGAGCTGCATCTGCAGCAGATAGCTACAGCTACACTCAAAAAAAAAAGAAAACCTAAAAAGAAATCACCTGAGAAATTTTTTCTAAATATAGGAAAAAAATGTCTAAATATTTGCAAGGCTTGCCATAAATCGTACATCTAACAAAGAAAGTGTTCTCTTTTAATTATTTCGAAAAATGTTATATTATTTATAAATGCATTTCTATAATATAAAGAGGCAAAAGTACTTTCAAAAATTCAGAAATAAGTAATTCAATTTTTTTTTAGTCAATTATATGAATTTATAAACTATCTAAAAAGTTTTTATTTTACATTTGAAATATCAAATTGAATATTTTTAGCATTTTTTTCACATTTTAGAAAAGTATAACCTGAAATTAAGGAAAAGAAAAATCCTTGTTCTTAGAAAGATACTTTCTGAATAATAAGCTGATTTATAAAATTGTGGATGATTTGATTTCTGAGTGTAATGGCTGAGGTAGTTGTACTGCCATCAAGCCAGGATCAAGAGTACACACAAATTGACACACACACACAACACACACGCATGTTTCTTGGTCTGCTTATTGAGTGCAATTGGCCAACTTGCATGCTTTATCTTTGAACTACTTTCACACACACACACCCAACACACACACACACATTTACAAAGGTCTCTTCAACATCAGCATTTCAAACAGTTTTTAATTAATCAGCTTGCCATCGATTTTTTGAAGTCGGAAAACTCCACTCAAAATGCCAATAAATGTTGCCAGGAAGAAGTAGTTAACTAGTTAACTATACACACCCCCTTCTCTCTACAATTTCCTCTACAACCACTTACCTCGTAGCGTTACACCCTATTTTTTACTCAAAACCCATTTGCAGTTCTTTTTTTGCTTACTTATTTTCTGTTTTGCTACTTTCCACGTTTTTTCATTTTCATTTTAGTTCCATTTGACATCTTTGTCTTTGGCTCCCCACAAGCTGTTGAGGCTCCCACAGGCGAGTGTGTGTAGTGTGTATGTGTGTGAAGTGTGTGTATGTTGTGTGTGTTACTTGGGTTGCATGCATTTTTTTTTAGAATTTTATATGTTCAAAGCTGTCTTTATCGATTAAGCTACATGTGTTTCAAAGCTGTCAACGACATTTTCTTTGGGTTCATTATTAATGTAATTGGTTTTAAACTTAAAAAGTAATTAAAAATTGAGCAGGAATTTAAATATGTTATTTGGATTTGTTAGACTAGAATGACAAGGTTCTTGACGTAGTCATATTTACTTTTTTTTTGACTCGTGTAGAGGCTATATTAATTATGTTTTAAATATGAAGGAAATATCTGAGAACCCACACGGTATATATATATATATATTTTGAGCAGCTGAGATACAAGGATAACTAACTAACTAACTAGAAACAGTTACCGAATGAAAAAGGCTATTTATGTACTATGTAAGATAAACGCACTTTCTTCTTATTTTCTCTGTTTCTTTCAGACATATAGACAAATACAGATTTCATCATATATTCCCAGCATTTATCATATTAAAAGTCTTTCAGCTCGATTTCCTTCGAGCATTAAGGCGGGCAGTCGTCAGCTGCAAGGATCCTCTTTCTCTGCAACTGAAGCCAAATGGAGTCTCTGAAATGGGCTTGCAACGAAGCAGTTTTCAATATTTCATCATCATCATTATTGAATTTCCTTTTTTTGTTGGTTGCCTTCTGTCGGATGCGCTGAATGCGCAGTTCATTGGAACGCTTTTTGGTGCCTTTCATTCGAATTTTTTGGCTTTTGTGAAACTGAGTTACTTTTGCCTTTGTTTTTGTTGCCCTTGTTGCTGGCCTCTGTTTACTTCCGTTTCCGGTTGGTGCGAAGAGAGGCAGGCGCAGCATATGCAAATATTTTCAACATGATTGCATTTCGCTGTTTTGATTTCTTGCCTCTTTTGTGCTTGGC